CCCCCCCCCCCCCCCCCCCAGATCCCCCACTGCTCTTCGTCTTAGGTGGGCTTCTAATTGCTAGCCTTTGTTCAAACCTATACCTCCATGTCTTCACTGCTGTTACCTGTGTTAGTTAGATTAATATTAGCATGAATATATGTACCAGGCTACAATCACGCCATCTTTTTTGCTGTGTAGATATACCCTAAGAGCTACTAACATCTTCCTATTTGTTCTAAAATTTAAAAGGATATTGAAGAAGATGAAAATTACTATGTACACTATTTAATTTGACTTAATTCTTAATAATGTTACTCCTCTTCTTGAACAATGACACAGAGAATAACAAGGTTCCAACACAATTTAATTATCTGTAGGTTAAAATCACAATCACTTACATGTAATGGCAAAAGCAGATAACTGTGAGTTCTCTTTTCTATTTCCTTTGATGCCTAGTTAGAGCTTTCTCTCTTCCCAAAAGATGAGAAGACAAGCTGTTTTTTTAGAGACAACCATTCAGTGTCTTACATGAATTTGGCCCCAGACCCTTACCACTGTGATACTTATCCACCTTCTGGCTGTGCTGATGTTCCTGATCTCTTTCTCCTTAGCTGTTTCTGATTCAGTTCTTTTGCATTTATTTTTTTCCTTTCCCCATTGTTGAACAAGGTACAAGAGTATGTGTCTAACCTAAAATTTGTGAGTAGTGCCAATGAGCTTAATGGGGCTGTGCTCTGGGCTGCTGTGGTTAGACTGTTTTCTGCTTTCTGCTAGCTAAGGTATGTCTACACCAGGGGTTAGCAACCTTTTAACAAGAGTGGGCCAAACCAATGCAGTTCAGTCCCAGGATGGGCCATCATTCCTGCTTCCCCTTACCCCCATGTGCTGCCAGTTCCCCTTGTCACTGATTGCCACCAATTCCCCTCACTACCAATTGCCACACAAGTCCTGACTTTGTAGGCCAGATAAAATCTTTTTGTAGGTTGCTCACCCCTGCTCTACATTACAGTTCAATTTGCAGTTTAGACATACCCGAAGTTAGACATGCACTCAAATATTGTATTGTATTTGAGTCCAGCTGTGTTTCGTGACCCCCCGGGACTTTTTTTTCAAGTTAATAAGCTCCCTCGAAAGGAAAATTAGATGAAAAAAAATCCCTCCCCACCAAAAATACCTTTGGTTTAAGGAAGCAGGTAATTTGTTCCCATACAAATAAGGGCCTACCTATTGCACAAAAACTTATTCCTTTGAAATAGGCATTCTACAATCACATTTGTTCCATGTAGGAGGCTTCTGCCGTGGAACAAATTAAGACATTCTTTCAGGCCTTTTATCTATTCTTCTGTATGCAAGTATAACAAAACTAAATACAATGCTTTAGCCCAAGATTTTCATGTCCAAAAATTACATTTCTAAGAAAATCATAGAGTTAATTTGATTAATATTTGGTTTAACCAAATAAAAATAGCATGTATGGTTTTGATAGGCTAACAGAAAATAAGGCAATATGAACTCTTATGGATATTAAAATTACACGTTGTGGGGTATTATATTTTCTTTGCTCTCTATTCTTAGATTCTTAGGGTTTAAAATATATTAGCACTGATAGTTTAATTGAACTGCAAGAATGCTGCATGTCAATCTACTATAAATTAGTTTTGTTCATTTACTGTTATTTCTAGGTATAATTATAAGGTATGAACTTTATATGAGAGGAGTACCACAGTCTGATGGAAGTCATGTGCCGCCTGAAACTCATATTTTCCAAAGTAGTGGATGGCTCAATCCTCAGCCAGTTGTGGAGTCTGCCAATGAAAATGCATTAACGCCACCTCAGACCAGCACCAGAGTCATTGGCCTTGAACCATTCACAGAGTATGAGTTCTGTGTCTCAGCAGTAAATATGGCTGGTAGTACATCATCGCACTGGATCTCAGAAAGAACTGCAGAGGCAGGTAACTTGGTTATATTATCCCCATTCTCCCCTTCCCCAACCTCACCTTTATTTTTTTTAATTGTAGTAAAAAGCAGTCATGATATTTGCCAAATGAGGCCAAATTCTGCTCATTTCACTCATCCACAATTCACTTAAATTTTGGGGGAATTGAATATGAAAAATCTAAAAAGACTTAGCTCATAAAATCATTATTTAAAAAATGCTGTTACGTCATAAGTTTTAACAAACTACACCACATTTTGGTTTTCTGAATTTTACCCAGTTTTTTCTCTGTCACTCCTTTATCTTGTTCGGACAGATATTCATTAACCTATCCCCTTTGTGAAAAGCTAGAGAATATATGGGCCTTAACATGAGCCATGAAAGGCATGCAGCTACATTACACTCAACTCAGATTATACTGTACTCTGCTTTGGGGGAAGAAATTCATTTGGGTTGAACACTAATTGTTTAGGCCCTGATTCAGGACCCAGAACTCCTGTTTAAAAAGGGTGTTTAAGCACAAATCTTACCATAAACATGTGGTAAAGTGGCTTCCTGAATTGGAACCTTAGGGCCTCGTTACACATTAATTTTATGCAGCTCCTGGAGCTCTTAACTCCTGGATTGTCTGGACATTAACACCGAAACTAGTTTTAAGCACAATTAGGTGGCTTAAAGTTATGCCACTCCAGGGCAGGTTTCTCTCTGATGCATGTTACCCAGATCATGTTCCATTAATGTGGGGCCATTCTCCACAGATGAGTTGCTGAAGTTTGCAGTCCTTTAGCAGGGAGAGAGGCAGTCTCCTCTCTCCCCACCCCACCCTGTTCTGTGTGGATAAACTTTCTACCTCCTGAACTCTGCAGCCCAGGGGGCAGTACTAGCAACAAGTCAACTCCCCCTTCTGCCCCCATGGGTGCAATCTTCCCACTCCCAGGGGTGCAACCCTGTGCAAACAGCCTGCAGAGCACATGCCAGCTAGCCAGGTCACAGACCATGGACATGTCCAGGAGTGGGGCCTGGGGGGAGGTACGGGAACAAGGGGCTGGGTTGGGTCCCCATGAACTGGGGCTTCTTTCCTGGGGGAGGGGCAGCGGTTTCTCCAAAAGTGCCTTCCCTCACCACTCTCACTTCCAGGCCACCCCAGGAAGCATTATTATCATCCCCCACATCCCAATCCCAAATCCAAGTTCATTAAAACATAAGGCCTCCTTTAATTTGCTTCCCCTAGATATCTTTTGAAATTCTTCTTTTTTTTTTTTTAAACTTCTTTTTATTTTATAGAATCATAGAAAATTAGGGTTGGAAGGCACCTCTGGAGGTCATCTAGTCCAACCCCTTTCTTAAAGCAGAACCATCCCCAACTAGATCATTCCATCCAGGGCTTTGTCAAACTGGGCCTTAAAAATCTCCAGGGATGGAGATTCCACAGCCTCTCTAGGTAACCTGTTCCAGTGCTTCACCACCCTCCTAATGAGAGTGTTTCCTAATATCCAACCTAAACCTCCCTTGCTGCAACTTGAGACCATTACTGCTTGTTCTGTCATCTGTTACTGGTGATAAAAGTCTAGCTCCATCCTTTTTATAACCACCCTTCATGTAGTTAAAGGCTGCTATCAAATCCCCTCTGTCTTCTCTTCTGCAGACTAAATAAACTCAGTTTCCTCAGCCTCTTCTCAGAAGTTATGTGCCCCAACCCCAAAACCATTTTCGTTGTCCTCTGCTGGACTTTCTCCAACTTGTCCACATCCTTTCTATAGTGGGGGCCCAAAACTGGATACAGTACTCCAGATGTGGCCTCATCAATGCAGAATAGAGCAAAATAATTACTTCCCTCAATTTGCTGGCAACGCTTCTACTAATGCAGCCCAGTATGGTTTTAGCCTTCTTGGCAATAAAGGCAAACTGCTGACTCATATCCATCTTATTGTCCACTTTAACCACAAGGTCCTTTTTTGCAGAGCTGCTGCTTAGCCAGTCAGTCCCTAGGCTGTAGCAGTCCATGGGATTCTTCTATCCTAAGTGGCCCAATCCTCCAATTTGTCTAGGTCACTCTGAATTATAGCCCTACACTCCAATGTATCTACTACACTGCCCAGCTTGGTGTCACTGATTAACTTACTGAAGGTGCAATCCATCCCATCTTCCAGATTGTTAATGAAGTTATTGAACAAAACTGGTCCCAGGACCAACCCCTGGGGCACTCCACTTGATACTGGCTGCCAATTAGACATTGAGCCATTGATTACTACCTGTTGAGCCCAACAATCCAGCCACATTTCTATCCAGCTTATAGCCCATTCATCCAACCCATACTTCTTTAGCTTGCTTGTTTTATCCTTCAGTGGCCAACTTCCTTCATTTCTTCACCCTTTCCTCCCCACCATTTCCTTTCTACTTCACATTTCATTACCCATCCCCATCCCATTAACTCTCCACCTCCCAGATTTATGTTTCTGCCTCCCCTCTTCCCCTCACCAACCCATCTCTTACACCCACTTCCCCGCACTGAAAGCAGGGATAGAAGCCTGTCTTAGTTCACCAGCCCTGTAGTGGCAACTCACCTCTGTAGCTCCTAGTCAAGCTGCTGCTCACCAGGCCTCTAGAGGCAAGTGACAACAGCTGTGCAGGTCATGGACAGTCAGAGAAAGTTTTTAGCCTTTGGTGTGACTGCTCCAAACTCGAGCTAGCACTAACACTGATCAACATTTAAGCAGCTCAAAGTGCAACATGTAACAAGGCCCTTAGGGTGCCTATACATGTGCAGTGAGGGTGTTCTGATGTGCTGTAATTACAGTGTGTCAGAGAAGGCTCGATTAATTGAGTCTGTTTGAGCGTGGTAATTACCGTGCTCCAGTAGACTCCAGTGTCCTGTGTATTAGTGTTCCTGCACTGAAAGGTGGCAGTGGGGGCACTTTAAAGCTTGTTTTAACCAGCTTAAAGCACCCCCACCACCATTTTTCAGTGCAGGGATGCTGATACCTGTGATGCTCTGGGCGTTTTAATTAGAGCGGCTCCAAGAAATGCTCTAATTAAAGCCCGCCCCCCACCCCCCAACTCCTGGATTATGTGTATAAACACTCTTAGTCACTTTGGGCTAAATTTTTCAAGATCTCACCCCCACCATTTTATGTGTTTAGCCCTCAGAAGAAGAATTGAATTTTTAAGAGCCCAGCTTTCAGGAAGCAAAATAAGGCCAGGTACCTAAAATAAGAGCTGGATCTTTCAAAGTGCTCCTCCCTTAACTTGCTCTTTGGAAATAATGCTCACAAATTGTGATGCTTAACTTGGAACTGCTCTTTTTTTTGAAGTTCTGGTATTAATTACCCAAGGCATTTAAAGCATTAAACATCTCAGTTACGACAATGATGCCCAGATTTCTGATCAAAATCATATCCTCAGTTGTGTGGTCCCAGCAAGATGAGAGGCTAAGCTAAGTCGCCTTTTAAAATTGGGTCTTTATGATTATATGTTTTGAAATGGTATATATCACAAAGTCTCAAATTTGTACTGGAGAAGAGATCTGTTAGTGTTTTGTTTGTACATAACAGAAATGCTGTGATTTGGGCTCCTATTATTACAAGGTGATCAGTGGGGGATTTAACTGCAGTACAAACCATCTTTTTACAGGTGTAGCTATCCAAGACAAGGAGAAATGCTCTGTAAGAAGGAAGAGGCTTGTTAATTTCAAACCTGTCCAGCAAACGATATATCTTTTAAGATTTTAAAATATTAATCAGCTTTTGCTTTCTCCAAGTTTATGACTTTTTCCACGATTATTTTGCATGAGAGCTTTTCATTTAATGTATTTCTTACCCATATCCATCTACAGAGATATTAAGAAGGGATTAATATATCTTTAAGAACATTAAAACCTCAAGCTTTTTAGTCTGTAGGGATGAGATTTTACTTTTACCTTTTTATGTAATTTTAGAAACTATATAAACATTTAAATCCAAAAATTACTTTTTACCTTAAAAAAATGGACCTGGTAATCAGTGTTATTGTCTATAAAAGATAGTGCTTTACAATACAGTAAGAAAACTTGAATGACACACATTTCTCATTTATTTTATAATAAATTATCACATTTATTTGTTTTTAGCTCCCATATTCATGCTGTCTCCATCAGTATTCCCCATTTCACCATATTCTCTCAATGTATCTTGGGAAAAGCCACAAGACAATTTAGCAAGAGGAGAAGTGATGGGGTATAGCATCAACTTAGTTACCGAACATAAAATCTTGCCAGCACTTTCCCAGGTACTCTTGTTATTAGTCAGTTTTTATGCATTTATTGCCTCTATAACCTGTTTGTCTAATTTCCTTGCCCATTAACGTATAACATTCTCTTTTTTTAATTATAATGTTGTATGTGTTATTAAATAGATATTAACTTGTACTTTTGGTGTGTCTCCATTTCAGTGGTCAGTGAAGCAATTCCTAGATGTGAGAGACTAAATTCAGGAAAATTATTTAAATGCTCTCAAACCATGCATGTGTTGGTTCTTCAAGCAATGCATATATGTGTGTGCATGTGTGGATATGCATGTTGTCTATGTGCACATGCACCTTGAGGTTATTCAGTAATGTGCATTTTTTAAAATCCCTTTTAGCATTGTCAACCCTTAGAGTTTGTTTGACTCTTGGAGCAGTTAACTTCCTTTTAAAGCTCAGGGGTCTGGAGCCATAGGACTCAAACATCTCTGTTTTCAGCTGTGACTATTTTAAGGCCATACTCATTTTTGGATGCTTGACAATATCATTTTTTAATTTAATTTTAATTATTATGGTTAATACTATTATGCTACAAATGTAAAGAGTGAGTAAAAAAAAGTATTGCCTGGTAATTAAAGCAAAGATATGGCAGCCATGGCTGCTGAGTTCTGTTCACCAGGGCCTCCCTTGGGGTCACCAGGAACAATGGCCACAAGCTGAGGGAGGATAGATTTAGGTTAGATATTAGGAAGAACTACTTCACGGTAAGGGTGGCCAGAGCCTGGAATAGGCTTCCCAGAGAGGTGGTGCTCTCACCTTCCCTGGAAATCTTCAAGAGGAGACTGGATAGGCACCTGGCTGGGGTCTTATGACCTCTGCCACCCCCAGTGCTCCTTCCTGCCCATGGCAGGGGGTCGGACTAGATGTTCTGTCTAGGTCCCTTCCGACTCAGTGATTCTATGATTCTATTTCTGTCTCCAGCGTGGCTTTGATTATACAATTTCTGAGTTCACTGTGCTTTATTTTGCTCATTCATAAACTAGAGATAATAACTTACCTACTTCTTGGGGCTGTTGAATTGATAACTTAATTGCTTGTAAAGAGCTTTAGAGCTGGTGTTCCAAATATGTGAAATTACTATTCCAATTTTTAGAGTTAATAAACATCCAATAAATGGTTCAACTAAACAAAAAATTCTTATGGAGATTCACCATTCTCTAACTTTTTGACAAATTACTTTAGAATTGAGATAAAATAAGACATCTTCCCATTAATCCTTTGTAGAAAAATTGGACCATCTCTCCTGTTAGAGTGCTTTCTACTTGTGTCACTTATTCCATGGTGATCAGATTTCAATATTTAATGGCAACGTCATCTATATACTGTTTGTGGTAATAACAGCACCACCACACAGCTTTACGAGGCAATAACTTTGTTTCCTCATTTATCCACTCAGGAACTGGATTATTACCTCATAAAACAGTGTGATGGAAGTATTATTATTTAAATCCTAGCTTGTTGAGATTCTTTGAAATAATCCTCTTTCACTAATGGGCCTTTGCAAGGCTTTCCATGTTTAAATGCAAGAATCTGCAAATTCCAAGTCAAGTTTGTTATCAGTTAGCATGTCATCTATTAACAGGAATGAAAACATTATTAACCAAGAATCATCTTCAAATCTGTTTTTCTTGCAGGTTTTGTATATAGCTGAAGCTCATGAGCTGTCCTATATAGTGACAGAGTTAAAACCATACAAAAGGTACTACTTCACTGTTACTCTCTGCAATCGAATTGGGTGCATAACCAGTGAGCCAGGCACAGGACAGACCTTAGCAGCTGGTAAGGAAATAATCTGTATCAAAGTGCAAAGTTGACATGCAGCCTACTAATAAATGCCATTATAGATGATCATAGATTGATGCAGAGTGACAGAGAGAAGGGTTGTATTAATATAAAGTGACTGGCTTATTATTTGTTTACCTTGACAGATGAAAAAAACCAAAATGTTTTCCATAAAGGTTCATGCTATAGCCTAATGTCAATAAGATAGACATGTTTTTTTTTCAATTACAAGTCTGGTCTTCTGGGGGGGTTTTTGTACACCTGTGTATTTAAATTGTGTCCATATGCAAGTCTTACGCTACACTTTTTAAAGCTGGTAAATCAGTTTTCCTTTGTAAATCTGTTTGTGCCACATTTGCAAGGTAAGACATGCAAAAGTAGCAAACTTTGCAAACTGCCTAGCTTATACAATAATCAGAGTTGCGCATCTTTCTCATGATTTGCACTTGCAAACTCTGACAAGCTTGTGTGCATTCAATATTTGTATGCTTGCATCAGAAGCACACTAAGTACATATGTGTTTGCCTATATGAATTTTTTTTTCAAATCAATAGTTTGCTCTATGGATGTGTGTATTGCATTTTAAACATACAGCAGCAATACTGGAAGCATAAATTCCAATTCTGTGCTGCACATATCATTTGATGGTGGTCTGCAGATGACACTAAGATGTAGGGGGATGTGGGCACACTAGAAGGGAAGAATAGGCTGCAGTTGGACCTAGACAGGTTACAGGGTGGGCGGATGAGAACAGGATGGGTTTCAACACTGAGAATTGCAAGGTACTGCACCTGGGGAGGAAGAACCAACAGCATACCTACA